TGCATGTTGCTATTCATCTAGCAAGGGATTAAAAAATCAGAATATTATATGCCAAAGATTCAGAGCTGCTCAATCAACATCCCCTAAATGAAACTCATCTCCACTACTGAGGTTGGTAACCATGAAAAGATTGACAAGTTCTGCCAGAAATTAAGATCCAACAATTCTAAAGTATACTGGAGCTCAAGGCCAGATCCCGATTTTAAAAAGAAAAACGTAAAAGGATTGAAAAGCTGTATCATATGACTATCATACAAGAAATTTCGTAACAGATAAGCTAATTGAAGATAAGTCTGGAAATGGTAGCACAGCTAACATGCTACACAGCATTTAAACTTTCTGAACAAGTCATTCAAACTCTTGGCAAAGAAATTATAATATTTGAAAAGATAAGTTTCAACAGTTGAGTTAAACTCAAGAGTTTCATTGCAAAGGCCTCAGTGCAGACTAAGTATCAACCCCAGTCTCCTGCTACTATCATTGACAAACATCAGCTTTTCTGTGAGTTGCCTGATTTTCTAATATACACTGGGACACCAGAAAATTTCTTTCAAAATCAATCTCCCCATACAGAGATTAATTTTATTAATATATTTATTATGTAGAGCTGATACTAGACAGCAGACAACTGGATTGCATCAAAGTATCTGTGGAAAAACACAAATTTGAGAATAGATGCATGAACAAATCCACTAAAAGACAAAATATTTGAGTGCTTAATACTTTGGAATATACATTCCAGCAAAAAATCAAGAGGACATTAATTAGACTGCAGTTTGGGGATCATTAACTTGGTTTACATTTGCTACCTTCCTGACAAATGTTAAGCAAATGTGCTATAGTTAGATGCAAACTGGCAAATTTCCTAAATAAATCATAGGACATATTTATAGAGAAAACTAAAATAAAAGACTCATAAAAAAAATTTTTTTTAAACAATTTGTCGTTTTAGCAACAACAGATTTAGCAGCAAGCCGTACCTGAAGTGCACAGCATTCCCCAGGTGTCTGTGAAAACTGCAGATAGCAGAGTGCCACCTGCCTTTCACGGGTCACAGCTGCAATGCTGCAGCCTGGAAATGAAAGCCAGCCTACCGCCAGTAGTTGCCAAACACGCCTCAGAAGGGTCAATTTGAAAAATGTTTATAGTGTTTGACTAATCAGAACGAAATAAAAAAAAAAAACACCCCAAGAAGTCGTTCTTTGCAAGCAGCTACAGCTTTGCAAAACACGTTAGGACAGAACCAGCATAGAGGCTGTAACTTAACACTGTTTCCCAATCGGAATGCATGCACATGCCAGAGAGGATAAAGGGATGATAATAAAGAGAAACAGACTGATTAACAATAATTTGGAGAACTCTGCATTGACAAGATTACCCATTAAACATTTCCATAAAATGATTTTATAGAAAAGGAGAAGCTCCTCATGCTGCTTCCTATAATTATGGCCATAGCAATAGCAATTCATCTCAGGAGCCATAGTAACTTCAGAACACACATTACCAAACATCAAGAGCATATCAAAATTTTAAAAACCAGATGTTAAATCTAAAGCTAAACCGTATTTCACTGCTATTCAGAAGTCCAACATCACAACATACTAACCAATTACTAGATTCTGCTTTACACGAAGTGGCAGAGTATCAGATTTCACACACCCTCCTCCCCACTATCAACAGATAGTACTGGTAGTACACACCTACTATTAACTGATAGCAGTATCAGCAATCCACTTACGTGTCCCACAGCACAGAAATCAGACCCAGCCAACACTGCTGATAAAGCTGCTGCAGACCAGAGGGCAGAAACGGGTCTCTCTGCTCCTGCTCACCCCAGGAGCTCAGCTGCTCCCTTGGCTGAATTCCTGCATGCAACCTCTAACACGAGAGCCAAAAATTGCAGGAGAACTATGTTGTATTTCTGCAGTTCACAGATTGTAGTGTACAGCTACTCCCTGAAAAGTAATGAACTTCATTCATTGAAAATCCTGTATTTGTACAAGACTGTATCAACAGAAGTCAGAATCCACGTGGTTTCACTAAGTAGCTGGGGAAAAGAAAGTGAAAAACAAACAACCACACAACTCTTTCTTCCAAAAACAGCAGCAATACAGTTACCACCCTCTGCATCTCTGCCCAGCAGGAAATGAGTACAACAAACCTACTACAACCATGTTTATGGATCATTACAAAGTGCACAGGCACTCCTACTACCTGTAAGTATTTTATGAAAACAGCACTAGTTAAAGATTAAAAGAAATGAGACACTTCAGATATTAATGCCTTCAGCTTTGTCAACCAAAACAAATGTGTAACAATATCCCAAGGAATAAGCAGTACAACTCAGAAGCCAGTGTTTACACTACTTAGTTCAAAAGAACCTCTCAAGCAGAGAAGTAAACTGCCACATGCCAGAGCAAAACCTTAGCTCTCAGCAGGAGTCCTCACAGCTGTTCAGCATTAAAATGAGAAAATGAGGTGAATTCATTAGTAAATGTAATAAAGTTATATTATTGGTACCTGCTGGAGAGGAAGGTGGGAACACAGCACAAAATCCAGAAATTTACCAACATCTTTCACTCTACTAAGCAAAGTAGCCAAGGCCATACCTCACCTTTCATGGCAGCAATACACTTTTGATTGACTATGTGTTACATATTTGACATCAGCAAGTTCAACAATTCTAAGTCAAACTTTACTGAACTCAGTCAGCCTTATATAACAACCAGGAAATGTTCAAACTTCTAGAAATAAGATTTGAGTGCAATTTCCACTATGAAAAAAATCTACTCTACATCACTCTAGCTGGGCTAGCACCACATCAGGCTGTTACACCAAAATTCAAACCAAGAGTGGTTAGTCACCTTTCAGAGAGTAAGACCTTCAGATGCACTATCTTAGGGCTCCCAGAACATGCTACCACTATAACTTTAACACCACGTTTTAGTTTTAGGATGTTTGTCACAGCTATAATCTTGCATATTCTAACCATCTTCACAAGGCTGCGCGTTCCTGTATGCACAGACCTCTCCTGCCAATAGTCCGGTTTGCTGGAGGAGCAGATGCACTGACAGCTCCCCCCGCTCCAGCTGCCCCCAGGAGTAATCCCGGGCAGATTATCGTTGTGTCAATCTACAATGCAGACTCAGCATCTGGATTGATACAAAAAACCCTAATAGTTGTCATTAATCTGGTAAGCAGTCCTCACAGAACAATTGGCTGAGGTGTTTCCAGCTGCATCGTCGCGGAACGGTAAACTCTTTAACACCCCAATTCAGAAAGTGCCAAAATACAGTCACGCCACAAACGGAAGACAGTGTAGTTAAATAAAACAGCGAGAATAAAAGCACATCGGGACTTCAACCGCACTACACGAACATCCCACTGAAGACCCACGTTACTCAGACAACTGACGCTGCCTTTCACGCCACTTCTTCTCTCACCAGAAGATGAGCCTGAACAAACTTCACTTGCTGAAGTGTGACTAAGCCCTCCGAAACGTTCCCGAGCCAGCGGCTGCCTCTCCGCAGCCGGGGCTCAGCGACAGCCACGCACCTCACTCTCCGGGGCGAGACCGCGCTCCCGAGGGCAGGAGCGGCGCGGGGGTCCCGCAGCGCGGAGCGCCCGCGGTCCGGGCTCCGGCCCCTCTGGAGATGCGGCTCCCTGTCCGTCTGTTTTCTCTGGTCCCGATCGAACAGCTCCGTCTACGGGGAGAACGCCCGCCCGTTCTGAAAGGCTCGGTGGACTTTCGGGGGTGGGGCCGGGCAATGCCCGAGACGGGCTCCGAGCGCCGGCAGCGCTCCTGGCTCCGGAGCCCAGCGGCAGCGGCGCTCCGCCTCGCTGCCGGCTCCCCCTGCCGGCGCCCTGCGCCGCTCCGCCCGGACCCCAGCCCGCCCGGCCTCCGAGCCCCCCGGGGCCCGGCGGACACCGGGGCGCAGCCGGTGGAGGAGCGGGGAGGCGGCCCCGCTCACGGACAGGGCGGCCGGGAACGCGCAATGCCCGCGGCGCTCCCCAAGCGCCGCTGCGGCGGGGAGGGGAGAGGGGCCGGCAGGGTTACCTGGAGGCGCCGAGGGCTGCTCGCCGCGGGCAGGGCGGGCGGGCAGGGGCTCCTTCGCCGCCTCACCGATGCCCGCTCCCGCCTCACGCCGCCATAGCCGCAGCCCCGCCGAGCCGCCCGCGCTCCGCTCGCTCCCACCAAGTTTGCGGCGCGGCAGCTGCGCGCCTCGCCCGGCAGCCGGACCCAGCGCCCCGCCGCGGGGGCGGAGCAGCCACGGCCGCCCGGCCCCGGCGATGCGGTGCGCGGCGCGGTGCGGTGCGCGGCGCGGCTCGTCCCGCAGCCGACGCTGCCCCGGGCTGGGGCGATCTCGCATTACTCCCTGCCCTCCCCCGCGCTCCCCCCTCCGGGCCAGCTGAGAAGTTGCAACTGGTTGAGATATTTGTCCTTGGGGTTTGGGTTTTTTTATTTTTATTTCCTTTTATTCCTTAATACCGCAGCTCACAAAAACATGACCTGAGGCTGCTCCTTTTCCATGCGATCTGAGCAGGGGTGCCTCGGCGCCAGTACAACTAAGCACAACAAATCCCAGCGAGTGACAGCAAGAGGGAGGGGAGGCGGTGGTACACGGGCAGCGCCGCCGGTGCCGAGTCCGCAGGGGGCTCCCAGCCGCTGCCCGGGGCTTCGGTGTCGGGGCAATGTACCAAAACCGGGGAGCAGCAGATAGAGGAGGAGAAGGAGGGCTGGGCGCCAGCGGCTGCCCCGGAATGGCAGGGGCACGGGAGCGCCCCGGGAGCTCCAAGCGGCGCCACCCGGTTGTCCACACCCCTCTCACACCATGCCACAGCCGGCCAGCCAGCCCCAATGTCCCGGTCCCAGCCCTCCGGGCTCCGGCGAGCAACCGCGTAGGCAACAGGAGCCCCGCAGCAGCGGCCCCGGCCCCGCTGCCAGGGGGAGTGGGGTACTGACATTTCTGCCGCCACGTAAGAGCCTGCGGCCAGTCCCTCTCCGCCCCCTCCAGTCCCCTCCCTCCCCCCCATGGCACGATCGACGTGTCAGCCCCAAAAGTTCATTTCCAGGCCCTGGGAGAGTCCCCTATAAAGGTCCCGGGGCGTGCGTGGCACAGTGAGACGTGGCAGTGCGGGGCTGCAGCCGGGGCGCGCAGGCATCTCCGCAGGTACGTGCGTTCGCATTGTCGCGCTGCCCGGGTCTTCGGCGCATGCCTTTGTGTTTTGTCCGCTCACCTGTATTAAACTAGGAGGTTATTTCTGTTCATGTGTGCATTGTAATTAATTCCATCAGAGTTGGATTTTTTTTTCTTTTATGACAGCATTTGCGCATTTCCACTTCAAACTGCAGTAGAAACTGCCTTTTGTTGTTCGCAGCAAGACCAAGCAATTTAGAAGAACAAAAGCAGTAAGAGTTTATTAAAACAAACAAAACCATGGAATTCGTCTATGCTAGAGTAATCTTATAAAAGTTAGCTAATTAAACCAACTAGCATCAAAACTTATCAGCAAGCCAAATGTTCCAAATCCAAATTGCCTTAAACTTCTAGCTCAATTTGACTTTGGCTAGGGTATAAAAGAAACTTGTTCAAGTAGAAACATTATCAGAAGTTTGAAATTATCAGTAAAATTAAGTCCTGACATTTGGAACATTCTTTCTGATTATTTTTTGATATTAAAAAAACCCAAGCCAAATACTAAAGGCCAAACTATTTTTTTTTCGTAAAGTCATGTAACCCTGATACTCAAGGATGTTTGCTGATAAATAACAATAGTGTTTAAGAAGCCATTACTGTGATTACTGTAATTCCTGGGGTCACTTTCTCATGTGATTTCCTTCTGATCCAGAAAATACTTGTACAGAAAATATAAGAATTCGTTTTACACCTAAAAATTGCCATCAAAGTAAGTGCAGATATGAGATGATTCACATACCTACACTGTTAACTTCTTTGGAGTGTTATTAAGACATCTTCAGATCAGCAAGTCCTACACTTCTTATGTACCTCCACCTATTACAATACATTTAGACTTTCTTTTTAAAGAGGAGATCTGTTTGTTTTCCAATTGCTGTGTAAAAAAAAAAACAAAACATCCCCTGCTTTATCTGTGAAAAGAAAGCACTGTGTAACCAAAACCAACTGCCAAAAAAACCTATCAAAATTCTGGCCCCCTGACTGATGTACATTTTAGCCTCTAAAAATTCCTCTGCAGTTTGGCTATGAAACAATAGGCATATAAGTAAAAAAAAAAAAAAAATCCCAAATCTCACCACATTTATATCTTTATATCATACTGTGTTAATGGCATACAGCACATTCTAAGAAAAATTCCACTGGAATCATATTGACTCTGTATCACCCACAGAGCATTTAGTCATGCACTTTATAGTTCTGTACCAGTTTCATGGAAGAACAGTCATGATGTCAATGCTTAATTTTATTTTATTTTAAAAGCTCAAGGGCAAAGATGTCTGAAACTGCCTGTGAGATTAATCATGTTTGAAATTAAGGCTAAAAACTGTTACAGTTTTAATATTACATGTAACTCTGTGCTATGTCTAAGTTACAGAGTTAAACCAGATGAGTTGAGTGAATGAGCCCAGCAATTTTAGGTGATGCAATCCCCAAATGTACCCTTGCAAGTAGGCGCTGACGGTTTTTGTTTCTTCATAAATTGCAGTGGTGTCTCAATCCTAGGCTAAGCCTCATTGTGTTACTATATCCAAAATAAATAAGGATAATCTAATATAATCTAGGAATATTATGCTAAAGGCAAGGGAGAAAGCAGCTGGAGAAGCTCTGCTATCTGATGTAAGGAAGGGAAAAAAAAGATCAAGTCCATTGCATCCAGCTTTTCTTCCGGTATGGAGCTCATCTTTCTCTTCCACCTCGTATTTTCCTGACGTTATATTTCTCACTGTTAGTAATTTTTAAACTCTCCTTCCAACAAAACAGACCGAGCATATTAAGGGATGGCAGCGTGTGGAAGCAGTCATGGTACTGCAGTTGGAAGAGGAAAAGCTGCACAGCACCTTCAGGCTTTTGGCCAGTTTGGTGGGAAGCCAGATTTCAGCTCATTCCTGTGGTGGCAGGATATAAAGAGTGTTAGAAAGCAGGGAAGGGGGTGGATTTCCATCTGTTTAGGTGGGAAAGTCACAGTGTAAGGGAAGGCCTGTCTTCACATTACCCATCAAAAGCACCTTGGATAGTAAGCATCTCTTTCACCATTTAGAAAAACAGTCAGATACAGTAAATTGAAACTTTAAGTCAGATTAAAAAGAAAAAAAAATAGAAAAATAAGAAGGTATGAGCTTCAGTAAAACTAAACCTTGAGTTATACTTCCATCATAGGAAAAGGTCTTTGCTTGCTTCATGATCACAGAGTTCAAAGTCTTTATTACCACTGCATGTTACTTTTTCCAGACCACTGAAAACATTAGTCATTTTTGTTTAATTCATGAAAAACAGGCAGAGGAAAACTTTGAAGTCTCACAGTTAATTACCTACTTTTGTGTTTTTTAACCACATCATTTATTACTGAGGAGAAACCCTACTGGTGACCAGAGCCTTTCCAGAGCAGACCAGGCAGAAGAGTGGTGCATGCAAACAAGCACCCTTTCCTGAATCAATGCTTGGGAGCAGAGAGTTTGTGCAGTCTGGTGTCTTGAATTAACCTGACTTACACAACATTGTTGAAGTACCAATCATCAGCTCTACATTTCTGTTTCTTTCTTCTTTCCCGCTGAGATTCAGGAAAGTATTTGCCCTGCTGCATTTGAGTCGACGAGCCCTTAGCATTCCCACCTGCTTTGAGCAACATCTTTCAAGGTTGGATCATCACAAGTCTGCCATATTTAAATACCAGGGACTTGTGCTGTTGTTATGTGTAAAAACAGGAATGACACCTTCATCCCAGGAAAGCAGATGACCCAGAGGATTTAAGTTTGCCATCCTCATCCTCACATGGGTCTGGTAGGGAAGTACACTGTTAAAAGGCAGGCCAGGAAAGGCTGTAGCTGTGTATGCCCATTAGGAGACACAGGGCAAGGTCAGACTGAGCACCACTTTAATTGCCTTAGCAAAAGACACCATTGCGATTCTTCATGAAAATAATAGGGAAGTAAATGTCAATAATTACAAACTTTGTTGTTTTCCGTTAAGTTACTGTCTCACATTAAGTTTTGTATTTAAAGGTTCAGCTGACTGGTCTCCATAATATCTATAAATTAGGAAAAGCTAGGTGAGAGTAAAACTTGGCTCCTGAGAACTGATGAGTTCATGTTTACCATTTGTGATCAAAAGACAAAGTAATATCTCTCACAGCATTTCTATTATTAGGGCTATTTATAAACAAAATGGTTTGTTTTTATGAATGCATATGATATTTTCAACACAGCTATATAAATAAATGTGCACTTACATTTATAAATCTGTGATACGATTTTTAGTAATTGCTCCTTTCTTTCCATTAAAGTCTCTGACAGAAAAGGGAGTTAAAGAAGTTATTATATGAATTCTAAAAAAGGACCATCTAACTTCATGTCCCTAAAAGTAGTTAAATATTTGGTGAAAATGATGAATTCTTGGGTACTGATTCATGTGATCTGAAAATGCCATCCATTTCCTGATTCACCTTCATATCTCCTCCAGGAAAAAAAAAATTTACAATGAATACCGTCAGTCAAACAATTTTTATGTGTCTGTTTTTCTATCTTTCAGCCAATTCCCTGAACTGAAACTTTCAAAATGAAGAGGAAGATAAGAGTGAGAATGAAGAATGCCTTGGAGAAATCCAGTCATAAAGTTTGAGGAGTAGAAATAATAGGAAATATTAATAACTCTGGTCTCTTACATAGGTCAGAATTCAGACTGAAATGATGTAAAGTTACAAACCTGAGACATAAGGGCTATTAAATTTGAATCAAGATTCACAGATTTTTAAATTAATACATAATAAAAATATTTGCTTCTTCTCCTCTACTTTGGATGGTAATATATTCTGCTGCCTTATACAACTTTCCAATATAGACTAATTTAAGTTTTCATTTTTGTTTTATATTAGCCCCAAGACACATCTTCAAACTAAGCCAGGGTATATATTAGCAATCCATTAGTTTCTCCTCTCTGTCTGCTTGTCCCTAATCATTAATATTGAATTCCTGTGTTACTACATCACCCAGCAGTGGAATTCGGATAGAGAGCACAAACACACCACACACACACTCATACATAAATGAAACTTTATCACTGCCAAGAAGTCTAAAACACAGAACTCAGAACTCATAGATGACATAGAGCTCATCTAGACTTCAGTTTTGTGCTGGCCTTTTTGGGGATGAGAGGATAGAGAGGATACTTGGCATAACTCCTGGTGTCATAGAATTAGACCTCTGCAGTTTCTAAAAGGAATTTTAACAAGCTGTGATGGCCTCATAACTCAGACAACATTTCTGTGGCACTGATCTAGCACTAGGAGCACTATAAGAAGCTTACCAAGTAGTAGTGGAATTGTCCGTGCTATTTAATTTTATGTAATAGTAAATTCCTGAAGTAGGCCAACATCTAAGTCACTTTTAAAAAGTGATTTATCTAAATTACTTTGAACCCCTATGTGAACCTTATTGTTTTGCTTTTAGCATATCTTAAATCCACTAAAAATGCACGTAAATCAAATAGACATTAACAAAAAAAAAGACTGATCAGTAATGGGTTTTCTTATAAAGAGTGTGACTGTCTTTAATGAGAGTTCATTTACCCCTCTAGTTAGGCACAGACAGCATATTTATGTGACCAAGATCCCACTTGCTCTCTGCCTTTTCACTCTCTAAGACTGACAGTGAAAACAGTAAGGTAGATGTACTTGTCAAGAGGGGTTTTGTAGGAGGGAAGAGAGGCAGCATCTAAACAAGCTGCATGACATACTGTAAACATTTTTCCAGCCATGCACTTCCTGTCAGATCATTTGATAGCAGCAATAAAAGTTACAAGTCCAGTTGAAGTGATATTTTCCTCAGTTGCTCCTACACTGTATTCAGTTGCCTGTTAGGAAAGAACTAGATGGAGTTGTTTAAATACAGTCTTTGTAATCTGGAATTGTTATAGAGCAAAATGCTTAACAACTTGAAAGTGGCTATAGAAGCCAGTACTAGGCAAAGACAAAAGAGAAAATAAATTAAATGACTGAGTGTTTGTTACTGAGAAATAGAAACAAGTAACCAACACACACACTGCAAACCCATCTGAATTCAGTTACTTTGATGATTCTACTGAGATACTAAAGCACCCTCCTCACAGTCTGGTCTTCTCTTTTGTTATCAGTTGAACTCAGGCCAGACTAGAGCAATGAGAGTATAAGGAGGTACCTGTGTCTTTCCTGACTTGAAAGGAAGCCCAGCCCACTCTTTTACAATTTTTTTATGCATCTTGGTATCACTTGAGATTTTAGCAAGTGTCATTTTTGTTGATGTGTTTCAAAAGTTGCCTATAAGCAATACCAAAAATCTGCTAAGAATCTCTGTTCTCTGTTGAGCTGAACTCTCTGCTGTCAAACTTTAAGTTTTCATTTTTTTGCTCTGTCCCATAGTGATCCCCAAACTAAAGAGCTCCCACCATTTCCCAAAAAGCTGTGAGCTTTGCTGGCAAAGTAAAGCACATCCATTTATTGCAGGTGGACCATTTAAAAGTGTGCAGCTATTTTTCTACTATTAGTTGTTTTTTCATTCTTTTTTATATATATATATATATATATATATATATATATATATATATGTATAATGTATATATGTATATATGTATATATATCAGCCTGCATTGTAACATTGTCAGTTCAGGGTATAAGAAAGGTTATATTCATAATGAAAATGGAAATATGATCACTTGGTGGTACTAATTTCAGTTGTATTGGGTTTTCATGGCAAGATTCAGGTAGAGGAGGGGCTGCAGGTGTGGCTTCTGAGAAGCTGCCAGAAGCTTCCCTTGTGTCCAACCGAGCCAATGCCAGCTGGCTGTAAGACAGACACGCTGCTGGCCAGAGCCCAGCAGTGATGGTGGTAGCACCTCTGGGATGTAATATTGAAGAAAGAAAAAAAGTTATTACATAAAATAATTGTAGCCTGAGAAGAGAGGAGTGAGAATACATGAGAGCAGCAGCACTGCAGACACCAAGGTGGGTGAGGAAGGAGAGGGAGGAGATGCTCCAGGTGCTGGAGCTGAGATTCCCCGCAGCCAGTGGAGGTCCAGGGGGAGTAGAGATCCACCTGCAGCCCACAGACATCCACCTGCAGGTCCTGGAGAGCCCCATCCCAGAGCAGGGGGATGTCCAAAGGAGGCTGTGACCCCATGAGAAGCCCAGGCTGGAGCAGGCTCATGGCAGGACCTGTGGGCCCATAGAGAAAGAGGCCACCACTGGAATGGGGTTTTGACAGGATGTGGGACCTCTGTGGGTCCCACTGGAGCAGTCTGGTCTTGCAGGGCTGCTTTGCATGGAAGGGACTCACACTGGAGCAGTCTGTGAAGAACTGCATCCTGTGGGATGGACTCATGTTTGACAAGTCCATGGAGGACTTCTCCCATCTTCCTGCCCTGCTGGGGCTGCAGCATAAAACCAGTTATAAACTTAAGCCCAGGAAGGAGGGAGTGATGGGTAGAAGGAGTGCTGGGTGTATTTAGGGTTTATTGTACTTCTTGTTACCCTACTCTTATTTTGCTTGGCAACAATAAGTAATAAATAATGAGTTCAGTGAATTTCCCAAAGCTGTGTCACCTGTGTTTTGCCTGTGATAGCAACGAGTGAGTGATCTCTCCCTAACCTTATCTCAACCTGTGAGCCCTTCATTATATTTTTTCTCACCTACCCACCTGAGGAGGGGAATGGCAGAGTGGCTTTGGTGCTTACACAGTGCCCAGCTAGAGTCAAATCACTAACTATTACTACCTAACATTTGAGTGCTTGACTTATTGCCCTCAACAATAATTAGTATTCTGTATAGTATAAGTTCAGTTATTAAATATGCATCACTCTTATTCCTCTCCATAGCCTGAAAACACTGTAGTTATTGAAATTATTTAAATCAGAAGTAACATGTTCAAAATATTTTTTCTTTATGTTTTGCATAATAAAAACTGCTTTGTTAACAGTATTGCATAATAATTATTTGATTGGACACATTGAAAACTTGTAAGAGGTTTTGTTTCAGAAGGGGACACCTAGTCTAAGTCTGCTCTAGGAAGCCAGAAATTGACTTGTAAAACTTGAAGTCTCATTGCAGAACACTCAAGCAGGAGGAGGGATGTGCAACATGCTACTGAAGATAAAAAGACCCCACTATTTTTTGCAGTTTTGCCAAGCTCCAATTCACTTACTAAGTGGTTTTACTACTTATTCAGACTTGGGGGTTCATTAAAGACACAAGTTGACAGGGAAGACCAAAACCCATGTTCACCTTCCAAGTCCACTGTCATACTTTAAATAGTACCAGAGGATAACAAAAGGAGACCAAGGGTTAATGTCTACACATCTTGGAGCGCCTCTTGTCTCTAGTGGACATTCTCAATCCAGAACAGAAGCTGAGGACTGGGGGATTGGTTTGTGCACTGATGCTGCTGTGTAAACAAAATAAGCCCGTTCACCATTTGTTCTTCCATCAGCCATATGTTTACTAAGAATTCAAAGGCGAAAATTTTAAAAATTGTTGTAGTGTGATAGAAATGTTAATGAAATAATTTGCATAAAAATGTCAGATTTCAATCGGGTTTGTCAGCAGGGGATAGAGATTCTAATTAAAAAGACGAGAGCAAGTAAAGGAAGAAATACACAGGAGCTACATGTGTAATGCTATCTTCTTTTTTGTAATAATCACTTCCTTGTACTATCAAAATGAAGGCATTGATAACAGAACTCGGTTGAAAAATGGAAAAAAGTACTTGAATTATCCCAAGAAAAAAATAACAGTCATCCAACTGCAGCCCAAAGTCTCCATGCCTGCCAACATCCTTGACTTTTCACAAAAATAGGCTATGAATTATGTCCCAAAGACACAGCAACTTGGACCAGAAGATAAAAACTAATTCACAAGTTAAGAACATCTCCCCAAAGCTGTTCATTTTGAGTGAAAGTGGATAACTAGCACAAAGGAAGAGACACATTCATTCCAAAGTGTGTATGCATGGGAAAATAGCAAGCAGTCACTCAACATGGTAGACAATTGGGAGTTTCCGGTTATAACACGATAAATCATGTAACCAAAAAAAAAAACCAGTCTGACACATATTCATTAGCATCAGCTTCTGGGAGAGTTTTGCATAGTAATTTCTCCATGAGATAAAAGCAAATGCAATGTCACAGCAGCTGCACATGGAAGGAAGATGCTCCATGGAAAGAGAAGTGAAGACTTTTCCCTAGGCTGTCTCCTATGTCTGAATGGTGACACCCTCAGTTCCCCCTGCTTTCCATACCCTGGAGGAGATGTGAACTATGTTCCTCCATCCCTCCTGATCATGCTGCTTCCACCATGTCTCCTGACATCTTTGGAGAAAACAAGCACAGATCAGCTCCCCTAGACATGGTATAATTGATTTTATTGCCTTTTTACTTGCTCAGGTTGTTCAGTAAAGGACCTCAGGTTTTGTCTAAAGTTTTCTAGACTACTCACATTTTTACTTCTCTTGTTTTAGGGAGGGAACTGGAGAGTTGTTCTACTATCTGAGGGAAAAATTGTATGAACTGGAAAATTTCTGTATGGTCATAAACACTTTCATTCTGCTTCTGTGATCGAAAGCAATGTGAATGGACAAAATACTGCTGATTTAAAATTTTATTTCACAATGTCTGAGAAAATTAGTTTCAAAACACTTCTACTAAAACTTTAATGGCTGATGTTCCCAGGATCAGCAGACATGGACCTGCCATCAGGAATGCCCTAGATATTCCTTACAGCAGATTGTCAGGCAAAGCCTCCCAATTTAACAGGGTTGTTCTTCAT